TCGAGGCCAGCCTGGTTTACAAGAGCTAGTTCCCGCAACTGACACCTTCATTGTTGAAATTTTCCTCCCTTGTCATCATGAGGATAGAACCTCCTTGCTCCTTTGCTCCTTTCTGGACTTCTCTTCTCTATGGCCCCATCTCCAACACTAAACCACTAACCACAAATGTCAGGACCTCATCTCCCCTTCTCCCATTGTACTTTTGGTGGCCTCCCCGGTAGCTTCCATGTTCTGGGTCGCTCCTAGATGTATACCAACCCTTGGCTTTCCTCTAAGCTCCACGCCCCCCCCCCCCCCCCCCCCCCCCCCCCCCCCCCCCCCCCCCCCCCCCCCCCCCCCCCCCCGTCCTGGGATACCTATTGACTCTTTAAACCAGTTAAACTCAGAATAAAAGCTATCAGCTGCATGCCTTCTTCCTGCTCTCCAGAGCTTGGTCCTTAAGCGTCCCTGGGGCTTGCTCCTATCCCCAAAGTTTCATTGATGTCTTCCTACCTCGTCCACCACCCTGTCCTCTTGCCTGAATTACGGGCGGTAGCTTCCCACATGACTGCCTTGCTTCAGCTCACCCCCTCACACACACTTAGCTCAATCTCCAGGCAGTCATTTTAGTGATCTTTATCTAATTGCAAAACTGTTCGTGTCATTCCAATCTCAAAAACATGAATGATGGCTTTTCTTGTTTGCTCTTATACAAGGCAAAATTTCTCAATATATTCTCTAAAGCCGTGTTCCCCTCTCACCTTCTGAACAACTTGTGCCATACTTTTCATTGCTTGCGTCGGCACTTTTATTCTCTGAAATAAGCCAAGCTCTTCCCCCTCCACGCACACTCCTCTCACCAGTCGGTGCTCTCTTTGGAAAGTCCCCTGAGCCAACATCTGTGCTCTCCAAATTATTCGATGGGTAACTCATCTTAAAAATCTCAGATCAGACGTCAGTTCTCTGACAGGTATAACGGAGGCTGGCTAGATCTTCTTGGAATGTGTTCCTATAGAATCGATCGCTTCCTTCAGGTAGATGGCTATTGAATCAAGCCTCGAATAGCGCAGCAACTTTGGGTAGGAGAAGGATCTAAGTAACTTCCCAGCAGTGTGCACACACACAAGCATATTACAGCCGTTGTTCTTTCTCCGTCTGTATAGTTTATTTTCTTGTCACACATCCACCCTCACCAAGTCATCCCGGAGCGCTCAATGTCCCTGCCTTTCTTCCTGTCTGGGATCTCCTTATCTAATTACCCAATTAAATTTGTCTGTATTTTGCCCTCAAAGGTTTCATTGTAATTCTTTATGGTTTTTTTTTTTTTTTTGTTCAAGGGCTATTGTTGCTAAGAGTTACAGTTTCTGAAAAGAAATCTCTTTCTTATGTTGTAGGGACTACCATGTAAGACATCAGCTTCTGAACTGGACGGGGATGGGGGGGAGCCACACAGGGCCTCAAAGAACAGCAGCTGAGGAAAGCTGGGAGCAGAGTGGGGTTTGGGGAAGAGATTGTCCAGTGCCCAGAAAGTCAGCCCTGAAATCACACATGCAAGCAACATTATGCAGATTAGAAACAGATTATACTTAAGTTATATACATGCAATAACAGTTGGTGAAAAAAAGAGGCCATGACTCAAAAGGAGAGCAGGGAGGGGTTTATGGGACAGCTTGGAGGGAAGAAAGGGAAAAATACAATTATAATCTCAAATTTTAAAAAATGAAACGCAAGCAAAAGAGACAAACGAAAAATTTCCAAAACCAAAACAGAAACCTAGAAGAAAGATACTTCCGAATCCTTGATACTATTTTGCAAGAATCAACTCAGGAAATCGAATCTTTGTAACAACAATATCAAGTATGCAGAAGACATAAAAAAAACAATGGCCTATCTGGTAAATTGTATTTTTCAAATCTTGTTTTTCTTCCTAACTCATCATGGGCTCACTGAGAATAGAGCGTTCCTCTCTGTGCCCTGACTCAGGCTTGTGGCTTCTTCCAGTAAAATGAATGGTGGTTGGAACTGTAGGAATTGTAACTAACTTGCCATGCTCCTTGGCATCGATTTGTTATTGTTTTCTCATTCTTTTTCCAGGAAGCAATATCCCCAGGTGCAGCTGCTCCTACTACTTGATCCAGGAGAAAGTCCAGGGCAGCCCCCTCGAGCCGATGCCTGGAGAACTGGCCCATATTGGCTCTCACTGTGTATCTGAGATTTCCCCCCACCCCTCCAAAACAGCTGCTTTCCAGATGACAAAATAATCATTCTAATCTTAACAGGTTAGAAAGCTGCTGGCCATTTTGCCAATGGGGTAAAATGTAAAACAATGAATACAAAGACTTGCATTTGGTTTGAAGGAAAGGGCCGGGCTATGACAAGCATCCCTTCAATCACTAAAAATCAACCAGAAGAATTAGGTAAGAAGAAATTGTGCTTTACCATGCCTGAACTGGTATGTAGACAAAAGGAAGTCCATGGTGTGAGGAACCTAGGAGCCACGTTGTACAACGAATAACGAAGGTGAAGGACTCCTAGAAAGTGTTCTGAATCTCTCATTTCAGGAACATTTCTTTTTCCTTGGAAAAACAACAATCAAGATCATCCTTATTCCTTATCCACCCCTTCTTGTATTCTGTCTTTCTCTTACGCTAATCGACTATACCTGTCTTGTTGCATTATGTCCATTATTAAATATTACGGCAGCTAGAAATAGAAGCACTCAAATAGAAACGCCACCAGGCAAGGCGAATGGATAGATAGCATCTACACAGTCCTTCATCCAACGTGGGACTTTCAACGGCCACCACGCTTGCCTCTGTTTTCTGCTCCTCTCTGCAATGCAGCCGCGTACTGACTTCCTTAACAGATGGAGGGAACGTTCTCCTCAACCTTTGAATCTGGGCTGGCCTGTGACTTGTTTTGAACACTATTAGGTAACAGATAAGACTTTGTATCAGTTGGAGCCCTGTTAAGTCTGGGCAAGTGAGGTCAGCCTTTTGAGGGATGAAGGACGATGGGCCACTGTGGGGTCAGTGCTGTTCTGCAGGGTTCGGCGTTAGATTTGTGCGAACACTCGGGCGAGATCAGACGGGCCTGATCCAGATGAGCAGACACTGGCTAGTCTTTACCAGCAGTGGTAAATGACTGTTTTGCCAACTTGTATTTATTGCACATGTGTTCTGTGTTCTATGTTATATACCTGATCACTGATGCAGATCTTACCTCGGAGAGGCGGGGAGCAGAGAATATCAAAACTGAAATCTAAACCAAAAATTCTCAAGTGGAACAAGTCTATTTCCCATCCCCAAGGCATTTGGCCTGGAACATCTCTTCAAGGAATGCCTTCCCCTGTGTGTGCCTATGACTCGCTCATCGAAAGACTGGACAGGTATGAGATATGGGGTATTTCCTCACAACCTTGATCTGTTTCAACATGGCAGCTTAATGTCCAGCAAATAAATGTATAGCAAAATGTTCACAGACTTCCCTTGCCTCTCAGTTGACCTATTCTAACTTAGCTATACCTTCTAATAGTTAGGTCTAAGTTAGACCTATTCTAACTTAGCTATGCTATACAATCAGTAGTATTGCCATAGTTTAAATGGCTATCCATTGGAATTCCTAAAAAAAAAAAAAAATCCTGCTGTTTTCTCAGTTCTCCTTGTCCACTGTAGGTCTTGCTACTACACAGTCCCAAGAATGTCACTTTATTTTGTATTTTCCCTTTTGGTTTATCTGAAACATCGCTGGACCCAGATGGAAACACACTGCTCTTAAAATTACTTTAATGACTCGGGTTTAGCTTTTGTTTCGTCCCTTCTCTTGGTGAGTGTTTCCAAAGCTCAGCTTATAGCAGCTCTGTGGGAGTCCCCGTATCGCGTAGCTTGTTGAAATACAAGATACATGTCACACCTTAAACTTGCTGTGTGCACACGAGATGTTTCTGCCCAATACACTTTTGGGGGAAAACGACCATCCATGCACTGGCAAGCCAAATTCTTCTCATTAATGACAAGTGGTACATCATACAAAATTCTACCAGACATTAAAAAGCCGAGGATGGAGAGATGGCCTAGCGGTCAGGAGAATAGTCTGTCTTTCGAGAGGGCTGGGATTGCGTTCCCATTGAGCAACTCACAGCCACCTGTAACCCCAGTTTCGGTTCTAGGGGATCCCATGCCCTCTGGCCTCTGAGGGCACCTGCATGCATGTGGTGCTCGGTAACTCATGCAGGAACACACGTATTCACATAAAAAACAATACATAAAAATTGTGAAAACTTTCACAATATTCTTGGACTTACAGGAAATATGCCATAAGGAAATGACTCGTTGTGTGGGAACGGTTTGTGCTGGAAGGCACCATTACCAAAGTTTCATTCGAGTTGGTGAAAAAAATTATTCTAGCTGACAAAGCGCAATTCATATTTGCACATCAAAGCACAATTTGATAGTGACAGACTATCAAAAGTTATGCTGACGGCGACTATTTAATTGCATTGGAAAACATCCGATGAACAGCTAAATTAAAAAAAAAAAAAGAATAAAAGATAGTCTGCATTCTAAGGCTCCTGCAAATATAAAGAAATAAAATCCCAGGGAAGATACTCTAAATTGCTAACGTTAAGGTGGTGGGTCCCGGTCACACACGTTTTTTAAGGGACCTAGAATAATCCCTTAGGGACCCCGCGGGCGGCCCGCACGGTGCTCGCCGCTAGGGGCGCTGCGCCGCGCGGTCGCGCTCGCCGCCGCGGGGGGTGGGAAGGCGGCTGCCGGGAAGAGCCGCACCACGTGCTTTCGGGGAAACCAGCCGGCACCGAGAACCGGCTCCTCTGAGAGGAAATCGAAAAGCGAAAGCACCGACCGGCAGGCAGCGCGCAGGCGCGGACCCGGGGCTTTCCCACCGCTGCCCCGCCCCGTCCTCCCCGCCCCCCCCCCCCCCCCCCCCCCCCCCCCCCCCCCCCGCGCCCGGCCGGGGGGGGGGGGGGCTTCTGGATGGGTGGGTGGGTGGGGCCTCTGGGGTCTTGCAGGGAGCGGAGGGAGACCTTCGTTCCCTGCGTGCACACGGGCTACACCAGATCCCCCGCCACCCTGGCTGGTCGCCATAGCGTGGAAGAATAAAGGGAGGAGAATAGCTCAGTCACTGGAAAGTGATTCTGACTTTGGCTGAGGGACAAAAAGCACTGGGCTCTGCCTGCGGTTTTTATGACTTTCCTGAATCTGGGGTGGCAGCAGTTTAGGTAGAGTGGGAAAGACCTGCCTAACTGGCACGCACTGCCAGGCCTCTTCAGTGGGGACCCACGACACCCGACTTCCGCACCCCAGCTTGCAGTTTGTGCGTAAATCCCACAAGACAGAGAGAGAGAGCCACGTTTCTTTCCCACGCCAGGAACACTGGCTAGGCAGGATAATATGCGGAGCCCAGGACAAATGGAAACGTCGGGCTAAGTGCAGAACCTCTAAGGATTTTGAGACTGCAGGGGAGCGGAAATTCAAGGACAGGGTCCTAAATGCCCTGCCCTGCAGAAGCCATTCCACACAGAGGAGCACGGGGCGGGGGCGTTCATTTCAGGAGAACCCTTGTTACATGTTCATTTGAAGAAAAACTTAGAATGAAGAAGCAAATTTTATACCGCCGCTTTTATATTTAATTCCTGGCTTGGGCAATAGAATCCAGCGCCTTTAGCTTTCCCCACAAAGGCCGTACAGAATTTGGTCCCATCTGCCTTTTTTTTTTTTTCTTCTTCTCATTTTATCCCACCCTGTACTTCACCAGGCTCCTCTCCCATCACCCACTTCATGGGTTCCTGAACCCCAAGTTTTTACCTACTGGTCTTTGGAACCCTAACTAACTGGCTGAGTTCACAGGTGGGCGCTGGCCTTCTCGTGTTTAGCTGGGTCTTCGCTGGTCACTTCTGATAACTTTTTATAACCCTCCAAACACTACATCCGCCCTTCTGTATCATTGTCTGTTTCCATCTAGCCGAACCAGAGCGCAGTAATTCAGGAGAGACTTTTGCTACGCTCTGACTCACACTTCATGAAAGCAACCGACAGCCCCAATGCGTCTCCGTGTCGCGCTCACCGCCTTTCACACGTACGCAGAATGACACGTAGGACAACTGGGTAAGTCGACGCAGAAATTTCCGTCTTTGTGACTCAAACGGGAAGTCCCGCAGGAGACGGGCATCCAGGGTACAGAGCTGTTCTCAGAATTTTTCCTAGTTCATTGCTGACCTTAACACTGGCGGTAGGGATCCCGGGTCAGTTCAGACCTTCCACAGGCCCTCACGCCTCCTGACCTGGGCGTTAGAGTCAGAACCACCTCCCTCCAGTATGTAAATGAAGCCAGTCCTTTGTACCGATACCCCCCCCCTCCGTCATTCACCGCCTGTTTACCCTGTCTAGATGGCTACTGTATTTCTTTGCATCGGTAGCATAGAAGATGCTTAAGGCAATGTCTGTCAATCCTGTTGTGTAGGCCTTGCATGAGTAGCAATGGACATGGGTTTAGCGAAGGCAGAGTTAGGGAATATTTTGGGGACATTGGGTCCACCTGCGAGCAGACAGACACTGGAACTGTGAGGTACACCCAGGAGAGACCTAAATCAAAGCGAAGTTGGGAGTTATTGACACCTACGATTCGAGATCGTTTTCTCAGAGCTTAGAAGTTGAGCTCCTGGTGAAATTGAAAATAAGTTTGTTCTGCGCGCCGTATTGAAAGCAGGTGTGTTGGGGTTAGACAGGATGTGTACAGAGACTGGTCTGTGAGTTTAGGGTTTGTAGGTATCACAAACAGAAACCTAACTTGGTCCTGCAGGCTAACCAAGAAACAAAGGAATGAACCGTTGTTCTTCTTGTATTCAAACACGGTGTTATTAACTGTCTGTTAAGAGTAGATTGTGCTGGCCACTAGGGATAGACCTGCTAACAGGGCTGTCTTTGTCCCGTGCTTGCAGAAGCCATAGGGGACGTGCACTGTGCTGGGGAACTTAGCTTTGGAAAAGGCGTCACCTGAGCCTCTCTCCCATATGCGGACACATGCGCACTTTTGACAAGAAGGCTATTCAGAGCCTGAGGCTTGTGTAGACATTATCCAGGGGAGAAGGGTTGACGGGACTAGACTGGAGACTAGAGAGACGGAGCAGAGGGATGGGAGGGAGTACGAGCTTCACAGATATTCGAAAGACCTGTTGAGATTCATGGTTCTTCCTCAAAGTTTAATGTTAGATATACTTTGGAGTTATGAACCTTTTTGGCAGTCTGACAAAAACCTATGAACATCTTCAAAGAATTTTAATGTCTTTCGTTGAATAAAGTAAAATTCATAAGATTAAGAAGAAAACCAGTTTCAGTGAAATATATATATGTCTAGTGAACTTGGACATACATAAAACCAGACTGGCGTCACCTTTGTGACATGGGGCAAGTGCTTTCCCATGAATGGCCTTAAGTGGATCTAGCAGTGGTTCTGATTAACGCAGTTTCTAAACTGCGCTTAGCATATACAATATTCTGAGGTCACTGTGACTGTCCTATGAGATAAAGATGGTATGGGGTAGGAGTTGCTGCCCTTAGTTCAAAATTGATGGAGATTTGAACTCAGCTAGAAGTTAGTGGAAATAAAGCTATTGGTTTTGCTGTTCGAATTCATGAGCCCGGAATGCTATCCCTCTACTCAAGTAAAATGTGGAGGGTTACGGGTCACCCAAAGGTTTGAAGCAGCAGTGAGGGGGTTCCATTTTTATTAAGACTGTATGATGTCCGCATGTGTGAGTGCAGTCAGCACACCCATGCACAGAGCCCACGTGGTGGTCAGAGATCAGCTCTCTGGAGCAAGTTTTCTCTTCCCACCGCGTTTTTGAGGAGGATTCTCTAGTTTCTGCCCTGCTGCTTACTCCAGGCTGGTCGACCTTTGAGTTTCTACACAATTCTCCTGTCCCTGCCTTCTGTCCCACCGTAGGTTACAGATGCAAGCGGCTGCCACAGTTTTTAATGTGTGCTCATGGGAGCAGACTCAGGCTGTTGGGCTTTTGTGGCTAGTAGGTTTATTTCTTTGTAGCTTTATTGCAGCGTCCTCTTCCTGTGCATCCAGATGGGTATGGTCTATGCTTATGATTTCATAACTCATGGATTTGTCCAGATTCATAGACACAATAAAGAGAGTTCATTTCCCTGTCTATTAATTATACTGACAAGTCAGATTTTGAAAAGGCAATCCGCCGAATCACTAAATGTTCTTGTTCCGCTTTTAAAAGATAATCTGCCCTTCAGAGATTGGAGCAAGTGTGAACAGCACCCAATTTACTAAGCCTGAACCGTGCCATTACTCAGTAGTACAGAAAAGTCATATGCTTGATCCAGAACTCTTTCGCCTCTAAGGGAAGTGCACGGGGTTCCTGAGCCATGAGAGGTGAGGGGAAAATCCCTTAGTTGCACATATATGTAGAGGCCAGAAGACAATGTCGAGTGTCATTCCTCAGGTTCTAACTACCTTTCTCTTTCCCCTGAGGTACGGTCTCTCACTGGCCTGGAATTAGCCTACTAGGTGAGGCTGTCTGACCAGTGAGTCTCAGGGATAGATACCACTTTGCTAGCTCAGGGGTTACAGATGGATGAGTGTGTGTGCGTGCGTGCACGTGCGTGTGTGCGTGCGTTTGTGTGTATGTGTGTGCATGCGTTTGTGTGTGTGTGTGTGTGTGTGTGTGTTTAACGTGGGTTTTCAACCTTAAACTCAGGTCTTGGCACTAGCGAGAAAAACAGTTTAGTGACTGAACTATCTCCCTGGTTGAAGTGATAATATTAAAAATGATTTGGAAAATGTGTATCCGTGATTGGCCAGGGACCCGTGACAGGAGAAGAGAAATATTTGGAAATCGAATCTAGATCTTATTTTATTAAAAGCATCTGGTTTGCCACCAGCTTGTCAGGGACTGAAGATTTGTGCCTCCCAAGTTCACGCGCTGAAATTGAGGTTTAAGTAGGAAACATGCCGCCCCCCTGATTTGTACTTTGAATGCTCAGTCCTGGGCACTGTTTTGAAGGTTTTGGATCTTTTGAGAGGTGGGGCCTAGCTGCAGGAAGTAGGTCATCCGCCTTTGAAGGTTGAATCTATTTTTAGTTCCGGCTTGCTTTTCCCTTCAGCCTGTCTGCCACACACAGTGAGAATAGCTTGGCCCTTGTGTCCCCTCGGCGCCGCTCCTCCAAGGTGTCCTCCACCACGATGGACGGAAAGCGAGAGCCGGCCAATACTTCCTCCGTTCTTCTGTTCGGATCTGGTCCCAGAGACTCTAACCTGTGGCTCTCATGAAGAGAAGCTCTTGGGAATGGGCCTGCCACCCTCACCTGAGCTCCCAGTACACTCTGAGAACTACGGTGACACCAGGCCTGGAAGAAGGGGACCCTGCCCCTGCGGCTCCTGGTCTCGCACTTCCAACTTTCAGGATGGTGAGAAATAAGTTCTTGTTTTTGGAGCCCTACAATCCCAATACTTCTATACCAGCCTAAATTAAACCACAGGTCAAAGGAAAACCCTGGGGTGGTGGAGTTTGGCGGGAATATGCTCTAAATTCCAACCCATTGCAGTTCCAGCATACGTGGCCCAGTTTAAACTGGACTAAACAGGTATTGCTAGGATGCTTCTGGCCGAATCCTGTTAAGCTAAAAGAAGATACCTTGAGGGAATATCTTGCAACCCTTGGGTTAAGGACTTGGTTCTGGGGGCTAGTGGTCACAAAGGACCCACCCCCAGGTGCTTAAAACTGCCTGTAACTGCAGCTTCTGGGAGATCCAATTCCCCATAGATTTCAAAGGGACTTGACTTATGTGCACATACCTGCTCTACACATGGTTAAAAATCATGTAAAATAAGCTTAAAAAGAGAACTCATTTTAATCTTTCTGGATATCAACAAAAATAATCACTTATTGAACTCACAAGGTAACTCGCGCCTCTGTTCACGAGAGCAAGCCACTAGCTTCCGTGTTCTCTCTGGTGGCACAGATAACATGTGACATCTATGAACCCATAGGAACCTTGGCGTTCTGTATTCTGAAAACCTTTTCACAGTGTCTGCTAGGTAGGTATGGCTTTGTGGTACTTCTGATAAATTCCAGGGAATGAGGAGCTTCTAAAACCCATCCTGACATCTTAGTTAGTTCAAGGCAACATTTCCTGGTAGGAAAACTAGAAAACAGATCACTGTACTGCCCCAATTTATAGTATTTCCGTCAATTCGACGGGTCAGTTTCAGGTGACTTCGGGAAAGCTGACTTCCAGAGGGCAGCAGGAACTGAGCATGTCCTGTAGGTGACGTGGTCCTTATCAGTCACACACTCAAGACTACCAAGAGGGACAAAGGGGTAGAGGACAGGCTTGGGACTAGGGCTGCTCCACAGAAAGAGCCTATGGCTTGGTGGGAGATGTGAGCGAGTAGCAAAGACAAGGGTAATTGGCTGTAAGTGTGTGTGTGTGTGTGTGTGTGAGAGAGAGAGAGAGAGAGAGAGAGAGAGAGAATGAATACATATGCCTGGAACGGCCAAAGGCAGAATAAGCAATGACATCACAGACCACAGTTAGGCTGAACTGGTGCCCAAAGTACACCTGCAACTTCTGTACCCACAGTGCCCGTCAGCAAAGCACCTCCCTTCTCTCCACCTGCGAGACTCAAACGCCTTGCTCCTCTGTAGTCTCAGATGAAGTTACCAGGACCAGAGACTCGTGGAATCAGAAGGGATGGCCGAACCCCTTCAGTCCGACGTGTTCTAGAGATGCAAACTATGCAACCTCCAGGTGACGTCAGGAATCCGAGGTCCAGGCTGCCATTTGCTTCCCAGCCTTCATTTCCTAAGACTTTTTACCCATCTGTCCACTTGCAGTGCCTTTAATGTTAGTGCATTTGCCCACCCTACAGAGATGACTCTGGATCCTTCTTCCCACTGAGATACCCCCATCCCCGGTAGGGGCACTAGGAGCTGTGAATATCACAGATGTGCCGGAGCTGTCCTGGCAATCTGCAGGCTTCATGATTCACCCCTGTGAGTCATGCTGTTCCCGCCCCGTCACTCCCCACATCTGGGATCTACTTTAATGATTCTTATCTGGTTTTCCGCTAACCCTTCCTGTAGGTTTTGACTAATTCAGACACGATACTGTATTCTCGACCCACCCGGAATGGTCACATGGCTTCCGGGGCCAAATCATAGATAAAACCTGAGAAATAAAACCAGAAACAAATGCACGCATGGAGGTCTTCTGTTATATTGTTGCTGACACTGGTTTCGTAAAGCTGTCTTCTTACACGTTTATCTGAAGCTTTGGGTTTTTTTTTTTTTTTTTTTTTTTTTTTTTTTTTTTTTTTTTTTTGCATTCTAGTCACTCTGCTCCCAGTTGGGATGAGAGGAAAGCTTCAGACTTCTACCATTTTCTAGAAACCAGTATTTACAAAGCTGAAGAAATAAATTGTGGTCTTTGGCCGAGAACAATCCCCGTTGTCAACCTCTCTCTTCTGTGAAGGGTCGCTTTAGGCTGTCATTCAGCAGAATACGGAGACTTCATCTAAAATTGAAAGTGGAAAATGATGGCTAAGGAAGCTGTTCTGCAAATAAATCAGTTTTGAGGGAGCGAATACTCCTTTTGTCTACTGAACAATCTGTAACCTTTCTACCAGTTAACTAAGAATTCATTAGAGTAATTGGGTCTCATCAGTCAGAAATAAGAGTAATTCGGGCAGATTAAAAACTGTGTTAAGAAAAGTCTACTCACGGGGCAGGCAGAGTGGCTCATTGGGTGAAAGCCACTCGCACCGAAAGCCCGAGTTCAACACAGAAACACACACGATAATTACAAACCCCAAACCCATTCATCACACGAAACATAGTAATATTAATTATTATTTAAATAATTAAAACCTAAAAATAGGTACAGAATGTAGCAAAAGTTCAGTTGGATCTAAACAACTTGGTATATTCAGGACATCCAGCATTGGGCTAAGCCATGCAGGGCAAGCATGGACTTGGAATTCTTAAAGAATTGAATACCGTTCGACTTCTAGCCAGGTAGCAGCTTCCCGGGCATCCAGATCCCTGCAAGGTTTCGCTCTGATGTATTCATATTTGGTAAACTGGGAGTGGCGAACCCTTTGACAGCATTGGGGTACGGGAACGAATAGAAAACATCCCAAGTAATGTTATAGATGGGGACACAGTTCTTAAAAAATACTTACGTTCGAGCTGGAGAGATGGCTCAGTGGTTAAGAGCACTGGCTGCTCAAGAGGCCCTGGGTTCAATTCCCAGCACCCGCATGGCATCTCACACCTGTCTGTTACTCCAGTTTCAGAGGATCTAACACCTTCACACCAATGCACATAAAATAAAGTTAATTATTTAAAAAAATACTTATGCTTCGATTGGTCTTCGTGTTCTAGGGCCACAGAGAGAAGCTGTGCAACAACCAAGAGAAACTGGAACTTGTGGTTCCTGACTTTCTTACGGTAACTGCCAAAGGAGACTTACAGACTTTGGCTGCGCCAGGGAGAGAAGTGTAGGCATATTTGTCCCTCTGGTTTTGTGGCAAACACCAGAAGGCAGTTCTCGCCAGCGCCAGTATTTAGCAACGGGCATGCCACCTAAGCAGCACCGTCTGTTTTAGGCTCTTGAATTTGTGTTAGCAACCGTGCTTTCTCTTTGCCCGGGCGGTGCCGCAACCCCCTGCGATTCACTTGGCACCTTTGTTTCATTGCCAACACCCCAGACCATTGAGAGACGGGAGGACGTACCGCAGTTTCAATCGTGGCGGGGCTCAGGTTTTCTCTCAGCACAGCGTATACACTCGGGGACATGGGGAGAAGGTCTGAAGGAGACTGCGGCTCCGTGGAATCACTTCGGCTTAAAGAGATAAGAGGAGAATATTACAAGGATTATAACATAATAGCTCATGGTAGCCTGCTGTGTCCGGGACTCATCTAACGCTTCATCTCTTTGTGACAATGAGCTTGCCTGCTTCATCATTTCCTATCAGAGCATTCAATCTGCTACGCAATACACGGCATATAAAAACACCGCTTTATAATTCCCACCTTAATAGACGGGAGAGTGTGCCCTGAAGACTCGCTTTATGCGTTCAAAGAAATGAGACATAAAATGCTTTATTGGGCATTAAAAATGCTTTATCTTCAGTTATATGTACTCCGATCTGCCCTTAAATCTTTTAGGAAAAGCCTTTTGAAAAAGAAATAAATCAATTCAACAATAAATATTTTACGCGTGACTAACGTTACTCACATGGTTGAAATGGGGATAAAAACCGACGGGACATAACCTTTGTCTCCCCGTTCTGTAGGTCTCGAAACTGAAAAAGAAAAAGGCACAATGTTGGGAAGAAATGTTAACGTTATTGATAAAGTTGGAAATCGAACATCTGGGAAAATGTCTACAATGCGCAGAAGAAAATACATATCACGTTTGTCTTGTAATTCACAAACCAGCCACACAGGTGAACTTGAAATGCATAGGCAAACAACAAAGTCCTTGGCAGGCTGATACGACTTCACGTATTAACGACTCTAAAATGTCTGAGGATAGTTGAGATGGCTTGACCGTCTGCCCTTTAAGTGTGGCGGGAATATCCAATTCATTTGTACATGAGGAAATTTATAGTGCCGTAGTGCGGTTGTCAGTCTATGGGTCGCCTAGGGATAGTTAAAATGTGGAGCCTGACGAAGGAAACTCATTAGGTGTGTGCTTTATAAGGAATATTGAGACGCCAGCCTCTTTCTTCTCTGCGTCTTGGCCACACACTCCCATCATTAGGTCTCCTGGCAGGCCTACCGAAAGGTGACAGAATTAACCTCGAGAGACTGGCACCTTCCAAACTGTAAGCCCAACAAACCTTAGTCTTTGGCTGATACACGTAGGAACAGAATTCTTTTCATTCAAACACCGGTCATGAACTTATTACTACCCAGAGGTTTTGAAGCATGGACAATCAGCTTGCCTAGAACTAACAATACACCGTGATAACCACATAGTACTGGTAACGGGCAAACCTTGGTCTTCCCAGGTGCACCATGCCAATCGGATGCCAGGACGGTCTCCCAGCTTTAATTATGCTGCTATTCACTACAGCTGAGGAGCCGTAGAGGCTACAGGCTGTTATCCCTTGGTACCTGTAAGGGACTGGGCTCTAGGAACCCTGACAGTCACTCCGTCTACTGTGCTTCAATCCTGTGTGTACAATCGTGCTGCGTTTGCTTTGGACCTAAGCACCCCTTTCTGTAAGCTTTACATCCGTTCCAGGTTGCCTACAATACTGCCTCAGCATAGACGCCGTTTCAAGAGCTGTCAGCCTATACTGCTTATAGAAGAAAGACAAGAAAAGGTCTACATCTTCAAGGCTGTTGCAATCTCGAAAACCTCTTTTTGGTGTCTGGTGGGCTGAATAAGATGTGGAAACTAGGAATAGAGAGGCCAACTGTGCATTCATGAGAGAGAACGGGGAGCCCCTTACCCCAGACAGCTAATTTTATGATTTTCTTTATGTATTCAATATCGTTGAATGTCTGTTGGGATAGTTGCTCTTCTAGAGCTTTAGGACACATAGGAGAGTCTGGCTAGGCAGGAGAATGAAGCAGGGAGCCCCATGTCTCTTCTTCCATAAAGAATAAACACTCCAAGTAAGGATGAGAGTGAGGCCGGATGGGGTGTATGATTCAGAGCTGGATTATTTGCCCAGCATTCATCAGAGCCTGAGTTCCATCCCTAGCCTCTCTCTCTCTTACACACACACGCACACACACACACACACACATATATATATAGAGAGAGAGAGAGAGAGAGAGAGAGAGATATCACGGTAGAGTGAAAAACTTAACTCTTCACTCTCAAAGTTTCTTTGCAAAATGCAGGACTACGGACTGCTGCATTTTCCCGAAAGCTTTGCAGCCATCGGCTCCCTTCCCTGAGCCACAGGCATGCAGCCATCAGCACTCCCGTGGAGTGGCGTTACATTTTTATTTTAATAATTAAAGCTTCCCTGAAGTTCAGAGAGCAAAACAGCAACACTGGCTAGTCTTACAGACCAGGTCGCAATAACACACACTTTTAATGCCAGTGGTCATACTGGTTTGCCATAGAAACCAGGTCAAGCGTGCCTTTAATCCCAGCACTAGAGAGGAATATAAAACAGGAGGAGACAGCTCTCAGTCATTCTCATTCTGAGATTCCTGGAGGCAGGATTGCCATTTTGGACTGAGGTCGAGGTAAGAGCCAGTGGCTGGCTGTTTTGCTTTTCGGATGTTCAGGCTAAACCCCAATTTTTCTCTCTGAGTTTTTATGACCAGTGCTTCACTCCTGTTTTAAGGGGGATGAACTCCAGGCTCTACAAAGAGCTGGTTTGGCCGTGGTGAAGTCTGTTGTAGCCATGAAGGTTACTCTACGAACCACGGACATGGCAATTCATTACCCCCATTGGACCTGGGACATTACAACATCAAAATAATAAAAAAGAGGAACTTCCTTCATGTTTCTCTGTTATGACATCATTTCCCAAAATCTCATGAGAAAAGTAAACACAGACCTTCACAAGGCTGGGAGCTGTAGTGTTTGCCGAAGGCTTTGTCTTTGGGAATGTCAGGGTAGAGGTACTTGAGAGGGTTCTCGGGGATGTTTTCGGCCATGATGACCTTGTAGTCTCGCAGGATGTCAGCGAAGGGCAGAGCTGACAGCCGCCCTTTGTTGTAGGGTTCCACAGAGTGGAACCTCACTTCTCCTGAAAAGCACAGAAACCGGGATATTCAGGTTCTCCGTGGTCATTCCTCGGCCCGCATTATCTCCATAGCTAAAAGGTATGGCCTTCTGGAGTCCCATCAGCGATAAAGCGTGCAACACGGGCTTTCAGAATTCACAGGTAAGCGGGCCATTTTCTATTCAAGCCAGCGAGGGAATGCCACAACGTACCGTTTTCAGAGTGGTCCACCCAGGTGAAGGTGATCCCTCCAAGATGGCTCTCACTGAACCTTAACAAGAATGTCCCGGGCATTTTATCCTTGAGCAGAAGCCGTTCCTTCTCTTTGCTTACAAAGCCCATGACGTACCTAAAATTAGAGCAAGGGGCAAGGCATGGTCTCATCTGATTGTCGTTACTTCTCCACTGATTGCCTTCATCGAGAACAGGCCTAACACAAGCAACTGTACCCAACTCTGATAGCATTACACGACACATGCATATTATACAATACATGCATGTAGTATAGAGCCACAATGTATTATTATGGGTTACTCTCTGAAGAAACCACAATTGTGTTTTTCCCCCCTAAACACACTTTAAAGAAGAAACTAGAAAATAATTAATTAATTAATTAATTAATTTTCTTTTGAGACACGTTTTCGCTGTAGCTTTAGAGCCTGTCCCGGAACTAGCTCTTGTAGACCAGGCTGGCCTCGAACTCACAGAGATCCGCCTGCCTCTGCCTCCTGAATGCTGGGATTAAAGGCGTGCGCCACCACTTGCCCAGCATGGAAACAAGATAATTAAAGCAGAAAAAAAAGGACTCCTAAGAAAAACAGAGCCCGTGAACTCACCCATCAATCCACAGGGGGAGAATGTGCTTTTTAATCAGGTCCAATATTGCTTCCAACCAGGTCCAGAAGGTAAACGGTTTGCCAGGCAAATGTTCCTGTCAGGAAGGAGGCGCAAGCATGGACAAGGCCGGCGACTTAAGCCGCACCCCGATAGAACCCACCCTCACTTTGTGAGCAGAGCCGCACCCCGATAGAACCCACCCTCACTTTGTGAGCAGAGCAGGACCTTCTGTTGTGGTCACCCTCATCCGGGAACCCCTCCAAAGCATCGGCAATGGCACCGAGCCGCAGCCAGCAGCGCCAAGACAAAGAGCTTCCTAAGCGACACCCCCCACCCCGGTTTGTACCTTGCAGAACTTGGCCCAGCTGAGGTGACCATCGCTGTAGTTAGACTGGACTAAAACGAAAGGGGGTAAAAAAAAAACAGAAAAATTTAACAAGAGTGGGACTTTCTGTTCTGTGCCTGGCCTAGTTTCTCCCTCTCCTTCATCGTAAGCATTTCACAAGGACTTGGAACGGAGACGTACATACGTAAGATAAACGGGAGTGCAATCCCGGTGAGTGCAATCCCGGTGCCTGAGAGGTTCAGTATCTAACAGCGTCGTGAGGGAGGAGCCTATGACAGCTTTAGGACTCTCCAGGAATGGGGGATAAACTGGCAGAGGGCGACCCCAGGGAAGCCACCCCAGGGAGGAAGGACAGTGGAGCACAAGGGGCTGCTGGGAAAGCGGGACACTGACTGAGGACATTAGAAGCAGCCTAAGGGTGGTGACTTGCCCGCTAAAGTGAAAGCAATGGTCTTGGAAATCATAGGTAACAAGCAGCCAACAACTATTTCCATCTAGAACACTATTAATACTATCTAAATTCTAAGAAAACTCCATTCCTGTGGATAATTTGCTGAAGAGCCTAAGACTGCGGTTGCAATCTACGCTAATCTATACTATTTGTAGTAACGGACTAATATACTTAAAAGCATTAGCTCCTCATTGACAAAAATTTGCCAATATCTACCACTGCTGTTTATGAATTCAAGATAAAAAAATTGTATTTGGTAAGTGTTTAAATTGTCCAAAAGACCAGATGTATCTGAATGCCAACTGATGAGCCAATGGGTGTGTGTGGCAAGCAAGCCAGCATCCTACTAGCCATTCTGCTGCCCCGGATTCTGTGCAGATCAAAGCTTGGTACTAGTTTAACTGGAAACACATCCAGACTCAATGTGAGCTCTCCCTGGTGCTGAGGGCTCTTGCTTATCAAAATTCAGGTGTCCATAAGAAATCTGGGCAAAGCTCTGACTGCAGTTAGTACAGGAAGGGCTGCTGATGACATCTGTACGGTCTAGACACAGAAGCTTCCGTCATGTGAGGGATTTGGTCATTCTTGGTGTCTTTGAGTTTCTGTTCCATTTCCTGCACTCGGCCCAGCCAGTTCTAGTTAGTTAATGGCAATGCGAATGCTTCACAGCCTATTCAGAGGAAGTGGCCTAAGGACTCCTGAGAACCAGAGGGTGAATGGAAGGCCTGGCTGCAGAGGAGCTCTGCCCGGGCTCACAGCGGGGCGCTGCTGCCTCCTAGCTGCGGAGCGAGGCTGCGACCTCTGAGCCCCAGCCTCCTCAAATCAGTACAATAAATACCGTTAGCCCCTAGGAACACTGCGAGGATTAAAAGGAGAAAAAACACTTGGGCCTGTCCCTGACGACATCCAGTAGGCATTCAATAAAGCGTGACAATCGCCGGAACTCTCAGCGATACTAGCGTGACTGCTTGCAAGCAAACCCTCCGGTGCCCGTCTGCCCTCACCTGTGAGCTTCTCCGCCAGCATGTTGAGCTGGTCTGAATTAAGGCCACGGCCAACATAGGATGAAAACTGCCAGCTCATCACTTCCAGGAGTTGACTCAGCGTGACAGACGGAGGTTTATTGAAGAAAACCAAGTTCTGAAATAGAGTCACGGTGACGACATCCGTTAGTTGCATGGGGGAACACCACCATTGAGTACATCGCTGCCCTGATTTAAAGTCGGGGGTCAAGCGAAGTCAACAACACAGATTGTTAAGAGTGAGCTTTTCCGTGCCTGTGTTCCTTAAGATAATACAACTTGGGGATCCATCTTTGCTGATGGAATCACTTGCCATCTCCCAACCTTCTCAGAACGACCAACTCAACCAGCAATCAGCTTATACAGGTAGTTGTAACCATACAGATAGCCTTCCCTGAAATGCTATTCCCTATAGACATGTTCAATTAGCTCATCATGAAAGAGGGCACCGCATCCAGCAAAGGTCACAAGACGGGAAGAAGACGAGGAAAGTGGTAGGGTTTGGGGGGACACTATTCTCTCTTTGAGAAGGGCATTGGAGGATGGCCATGGAGGACAGGCTAATGAAGGCATAGAGCTCGGAGTCTGAAGGGAGACTGAGTTAATAAGTCAGCCTTGGCTGCTCGGTTTGGCTTCATGAGGAGGCTGTGACCTTGGTGTCCAGATCATCACACTGGAGCTTAGTTGTTCTGGAAAGGGTGCGTATGGCGGCCTCTGTGGCTTCCTAGCTGATGTTGCTAAGGACAAAGTGTGGTGCTGCCCTGAAGCTGGAGGACGGAGGCACCCTACTTTCCTCCCATGCCCCGTAGTAGGAAGAGATGAGCAGACACGTAGCTCTTAAAGGAAAGAGTCATATAGTGCCAACGGTTATTCTTGGCCTTAAAGACCAGAGAATTGGCCGGTGGATTCTTTGACCCAAGAGGGATCTTAGCCCCCGGCAGCTCCTTCTTTGCAGTTGGTCTGCTTCAGATGCCTGGGCATCTGGGGGTGAGGGTGGGGATGAGGGTGGGGATGAGGGTGATGCGGCTAAGCATCTCTGTCTCAGATGCCCGGGCATCTGGGGATGAGGGTGAATAGGACTGAGCTGTTTTCTGCATGGTTCCCTTTTAGGAATATTGCATTAAAGGGAAAAGGCACTGAAAGCTTCCCTATTTAGTGACCATGTCTTACACAGTCACCTAGGGGAAAGAAGTCTTCTAGCAGAAACGGGTTTGAATAAAGAAGGAAGGTTTTATTTGAACTGCTTCTTCTGGAACTACACGCTTGGCAACACAACACACAGTCTGGAGTTTTGTTTTCTCCGTCTTAAGAACAGAGCAAGAGGGAGTGTGAAATAATTTTTTTTTTCAATTCCCTGGTTTTCATTAAAACCGTGACTAAAATCCATTTTGGGCAAGTGCCTCAAAGAACCACCAGATGGCACTAAAGTCCAGCCTAAACCGAGCAAGGTTCAAATCTATACCTAACAACATTTGTTCCGTCAGAGCTCAGGCAAGATTGACGGATATCCTGGCTACTTATTTGGAAACTAATTTCTAGAAGAGACCAAGGGAAGGTACCCAGAGGTTAAGGTAGTCAGATAGCAAATTCCAACAGCAGTTAGACAATTCTGGAGCCAGATGTTTCCCGGTAGAACCAGGACAGCCTTCGAATCCACAGTCTTGGGACTGGTCAGAGTTCAGAAATAGCCAGAGCTCTCGGAGTACAAGTCTGTAAGAACACCCGACCTCCTCCCCTTTGTTAGTATCATTCATTAGGAGGCAGGATCTTGCTATGTAGCCCGGGTTTGACTCTGATTGGCCTCAGACCACAGTCTTCCTGCCTGAGTCCTTCAAGGGCTCGGATTCTCCTGCTCCCCTGCTCAGTTCGAGCAGGACTCCTTAAGCATGGCCTAATAGGGCTCACACACAGTTGAGAGGAAAGGTTAAACAGGATGAGAAGCGGAGAGACAGGGATAGGGACCTTACCTGGCAGTCGTTGGTCGACACGTTGTACCAGATGATGGATGCCCACGCATTGGGCAGCTGGCTGACGTTAGAAATCATCACCACAGGTAACGAGCTGGTCTAGTTAGAAAAATAAAAGAAGTTATTACAGGTAGTCCAAACTTGCATTGCTGCTACTCCTGGTCTTCTCTTCTAGAAGGCCATTTTAAGTTAACAGCCCCTCCTTCCCATCCTGGTACCCAGGCGCCATATGAAGAACTTCTGAGCACACACAAGCTGGAATGCAGGAAGAAAAGGAATAGGAACCCTTTCTGAGCGCCCGACACTAGCAAGCAGGCAGTTTCCGCACTATCTTCCCTGACATTGAGAAATGACGGTGCTTCCTCGTGCCACAACGCCCCAAACACAACCCAAATGGTTTTGGTGAAGATTTAGTCATTGCCATCCTTTTAAGCTGTGCTAAAGAATTTGATCTGAAAGTTACTTTGGGAATGAGCCTCTATGATCCGATCATGACCTGGTGCCTAATCCAGGTCCAAACTGGAAGTAGGAGTTTTGTTTAAAGCCAGAAAGGTGCACCATGGGAGTTGGAGCTGTCCCACCTGCTTCTAAAGAACAGTTAGTACTATCATCAACACGGTTTTCTTTTTTCTTCCTTTTTTGTTTATTTATATTTGTTTATTTATTATGTATACAGCATTCTGCAGGTATGCCTGCACTGCAGGCCAGAAGAGGGCACCGGAACACATTACAGATGGTCGTGAGCCACCAGGTGGTTACTGGGAATTGAACTCAGGACCTCTGGAAGAGCAGTCAGTGCTCTTAACCTCTGAGCCATCTCTCCAGCCTGTCAATCCGGTTTTCTGTGGTACCAAGTAGACAGGCTTTCACAGACTAGCCTGGGAGGCTAATCTCGGAACAGCTGTCCCTCCCTAATAAACACAAAATTCCTGTGACTAGTAAAATACCCAGGAGCTGAGGAACCAGGCAGCTTGTAGAGGCTTAGGGGAAAGATGTGGAGAATTTTACACACATTTGAATGCTTCAGACCAAGAGGAAAAGGCAGAATCTAAAACAACACACTCAAACTACCTGGAATGGAGTGCTAATGGCTACTCTGGCTTGTCTATCCCAACACATATGGGGGCTCTAGCATGGGCTAGGAATTGTGTACAGGCAATGGTGGACACGCAACTCATGGTGCCGTGACTTTAAAGAGTTCATATTCAATGCATTCAGTTTAACCCTCTAAAGGCTTCTTTATTCTTAGAGTTCAACAGAGACTGTTAGATGATCATAAAATGACATTTCCATCAACATCCCTACCACTTTCCTCTGCTCACCACAGCAGAGAACTTTCCAAGAGATTTTAATACATAGCTCACATTTTTGAAAATGAATCACAATATGACCCAGTCAAATTGTTATTTTTCTGTATGGTTATTTCTCTGTATGCTTTCCATTGAATATTCATAATTCAGAAAATAATAAAAATGTGGATAACAAATTATTCCACCTTTATTGACTAATCATGACTTTTTTTTTTAAATCATTTTTTTTATTTAACCAGAATGGCATCTTAACTTTTTAGTGGATATTTGACAGTGTTTTTCTAAATAATACGTGAAGGACAAACAACAGCCTAGCATGATTGAGCTTCCACTATAAATGCTGACTGGTGGCTGTGGAACTTACTAGTGAGGAGAGGTTTCTTGAGACACTTACCTCCAAGTCAATGGTGAGGCCATATAGGCATATCTGGGTCTCAAAGGCTATGGAGTGTAACTCCTCCGTCACCATGTGGCAGCCCTGTGGGGAAACAAAGGATTTCTTTCCTTACAAAGGCAGCTTTTTCTGGTAGAGATATGAAAATTAACAAAGTAAATGTCATAAAAAATCGGTATTATTGTTTTAAAATAAGGTAAAGTTAAAGAAATCTTCTTTCCCACAAACCGTGACTTTGAGTTTCCAAAACGTGAATTTTAAAACTCTGGTATATTTTCAGTAGTTGAAATGCTAAGTTATTCCTTATCCTAATAAGCCACCCATTTATGGGTCTATAGAAAGACTTATAATCTCGTTATGAGTTGATTGGCAAAGATATCAGCTCTGGTTAAAGACGGCATGCGAGATACAGACATTTGCTTTGCTTTGCTTTGCTTTAGAAACTTAAATAAGATTTCAGTAAAACTAAATTGTCATTTAGATTCCCAGTGAGAGGCAGGAAAGTGTGGAAAAGTTGGAAGAGGTTCGAAGCCCCTAACTGCTCTGAGGTTGAAAAGGGGGCCCTAAAGGCCAAAGAGCCCCCAGCCCATGCAGGGATGTCTACACCATCCCTTGGCCTGCCCAAGCGAAAAGAGCTTTTCTCTTCAGAGCAGATGAGTCGGTGGAATTAGAAGACTTTGCATTCTGGGGAGAAGACAACGTGTGGTCAGTGGGGCACTGCCAAGTGGAGGGAGGAAGACTCTCTGCGAGCCTGGGCTGAAGTCTACTCCCTGTCTGCGCTTGACATCAGGAAATACACACGGACGTGGACCAGACCAAAGGCAAGCTCACAGTTATTACCTTCCAGGAGCTGCTCCCCAAGAAACAGCCAGCTCCTAAGAATTCATCCTTGATTCTGCAGACTGGATGTACACAGAGGGCTTCTAAGTGGGTTCTGTGGTCAGTGGTGACACGCCACAGTAATGATCATTAGACATTTGACACAATCTCTTACATGGAATACAGGTGTGAAACAAACAAACAAAAAAACTCCAAGCCAACCAAACCTCTGAAGAAAATGCAAAAAGCAAACCATTTTGTAAAAAAGTAAAGACTGCATGCCAGGCTCAGTTTGCCCAACAATTAAATGACAAATGACCCCATTGTAACGAGTGGATATTGCCACTGCTCAGTGCTAAGCAACCGTAAAAAGGGTCCAAGGATGCCAGTCACAGCGGATAGGACAAAAAGTCACACCAACCCCTGACACTGTAAATTTCCAGAAGCCAGAGAGTAAATGGAAAGTCTAAGGGTCAGGAGTACAGGTATGAAGTACCACAATGGTTAAGAGCACCAACTGCGCTTCCAGAGGACTTGGGTTCAAGTCTCAACACCCACGTGGCAGCTAACAACTGTCTATCACTCTAAGGTCTGACGCCCTCACACAGACATACATGCAGGCAAAGCACTCATGCCCATAAAATACAAACAAATACATTGTTTTAAAAAACAGAATCAGAACATAAAACAACTAGAATACCATTTTTTAAAATTATGAATAAAGTTATTTCTAGTACAGTAGTCTATGCCTATCCAAATTAGCAGTCAAGTGTGCCCACCAAAAGCCTCCGGAAGCTGGTTCCTACAAACCTTCTTTCTGAAAACGGTTTCAATAATTCCTCTAATAAAATCAAAAGCAATAGCTAAGAAAGAGGAGGACATAGACCTAGCCAGAAAAACGGGGAAGAGATCCCTAGCAGAGAAATCAAAAGAACTTTAACATAGAAAATAGAAAATCAAACCATCAAACCAAACAAACCAAGTAATTATACAACAGAATTGGAAGGTGAACAGGTAGAATGGGAGGGAGATATGACAGCCCAAACCAGATGAAAACTGTATTTTTAACTAACAAAAACCTTCACTAATATGAGGTTGGGGGATACAGCTAGCCATTGAAGAAAAGGAAAAGAGAAACACTCCGATCGCCATGTTGGACTGTAAGTGAGGGATCTTCTCGTTCTGACGGAAAGTTTGGGGCTGCATGAGTGACAGGTCCTTAAATGAGCTAAGTAAAGACTCAAGGGAACCGGAAGCCGTTCGAACGGGAATGCAATCTTAGCGGCTAGACTCAGACGTTACATTTTATATAATTGTAATTAATTTGTACAATATTATGAAAGTAGAGGGAAATTTACATGTATCTATACTCCCCATAAAAAGTCATAACTTAATCCTGTACTCAGAAACAATTTAGGTATTTCATAGGAAAAATTTAAAAATGCAAGAAATAAGAATTATATTCACAGCTCAACAATGAATTCAAGAGAGGGGTTTAGGTTGGATTGACTGGGAGAGAAATTGCCATTTTTTTTCCCTCTGACAGCACCCTACAGTACTTGACTATGCCTACAACCAGCAGAATTGCCATCGTTAGAAGCCTATTAGAAAAATGGGGTGTCCAGCTCAGGCGTTTTAACAAGAACTACAGGTAGAATTTGGGAAGCAATTATTCTTGGTGTGGCCCGTGAACATTTCATTTAGCCTCAAAAGGGATGTGGCCAGTTTTTTTTTTTTTTTTTTTTTTTTTTTTTTTTTTTTTTTTTTTTTTTTTTTTTTTTTTTGTGAGAGAAAGCTCACATCGTTCATAAAACAAGTCTGGGAGCAAGCAAGAGAAACGGACTTGTCTAAACTTCAAAAGCCAGGCGAGATCAGAGGACAGGGCCACCCTGGGAGAAGTGGAGGAATAGCTCCAAGGGTCAGCAGCAATTCTGAGCCCTCTGCATTCATTTTAAGATAGAACATTAGCCAAACATGATGCGAATAAGAATCCCGTGAGAGAACGTAGGTGCCGCGGATCACGTTAAAGGTAGGATGTGTTCATCCGAAGAAAGCACCGAGGGAAAACGGCCTCTCTTCCTCGGGCTGGAAGGTCGTCTCAGGCTTGATTGCCCGGATGTAGTGAAAAGAGCACACTGTGGCATTTTGCAGAAGGTTAACAGAAAACCGTGTGTGGTAAATACCGTTTGCAAATCCCTTGAACAACCGCTTGCAGTATTCCTAGCGGGTGAACGTAACAACTAGCCCATTTCCCTTCCCCACACAGCACAGAAGTCTATTGCCGTCCTTTTGGTTGAGCGTAAAGTCCGAGGACCTGGCTACTATTAGGACACCAAACTACCCCAAGTTGTAAAGAAGAGAAAAACCTCCCTAATGATGAGGAAAGATGCTTACGCTGTACAAACACACCCACAGGATGACTGGGGAACCTAAATTTTCATTGGATGTTCGCAAAGGGGTGGTCTTCATTTATTTTTTAATCCAGTTCAATGTTAGATAAGCATGTGCAAATTACTTGAGAGGCCTCCTTCAAGCAGGCAATTGAAAGCCCAATACTAGCATGTTCAAATATTTCATAACCATAAACCAAGTTAACAAACTGTTACAATATGGCCTAGCCTCCTACTTTGACATACAGCCGTCACCTAATTTAACTGATTAATTAATTCAGCACCGCAGCGCTGTTTACACTTGGAGGAGCAGGAAAAGCCCTGCCTCCCAGCCCGCCCACCCATTTTGGTAGGTAGCTCAATTCATATCCATAAGCATGCATGTAATAGCTCATCATGGGTATTTTCCTCCTCTTTTTAAGAGTTGTGACACACGTGTTCAGCATCCAAATGTAGATCCTGGAATACACACACACACACACACACACACACACACACACACACATATTTGGGAGGCAGCAGTGCTAGGGACGTGGAGGGGTAGGAGGGAGAGGGGCAATGGCTTTATTGTATTTTAATTTTAAAAAAGAGAGTAGAAGAAAGCAAGCTTCTACAACCAGAGCAACGACCGCCAGAGTTGTCCATTAACTTTGAGGAAAATTTCACGCTTTAGGGTTTTGTTTTTTTTTTTTTTTTTAAATCTGGATGGCAAGAACGCTTCTTGGTCATTCTAACCGATTTATGTTGTTCACTTGAAATCCCCTGTTCCGTTAGGACGCACATCGACATTAAAATATGGCAATGAGGCCAATATTCAATGCACAGGACTGAATAAAAAGCCTGGCAGAGCGATGCAGCATTAATTTCCAACTCTTCCACGGCCATCAATCAAAGCCTTCATTGTTTTCTCAATGCAGTCCAAGCCAGACACTAGGCAGTTTCACGGTCCTGGGGTTTGATCCCTCAGTCTGTCCTTACTGCTTTCGCTGCCGACTGTCCAGTAGCGCATCCTGGAAACCCAGACTGTTTGTTCCTTTGTGTTTGCTTGTCTGATTGCTTGAGATGGGTGCCCTGTGGCCTAGGCTGGCTTCCAAAGGGGCCGTGAGCCGAGGAAGTAAGACCCTGAAGTCTTCTGCCCTTCCCCCTTTCTGCTTTGGAGTATTGAGACTACAGGTGTGCACCCCAACTCCAGGTCTTTGCTTGTTTAATAAGCTAGCGCCTACAGAACGGCACAGGCAGAACTGCAGTACTTAGGGAGACAATCCTTTTAACAAATATTTATTTATCACAAAATATTTATCTATCTTAAAAACAAAAAGAAAACTAAGAACTGGCTTGGAGGCCAGCAAAAAATGCGCGGAGAGCATTAACTACATTCATGGGAGAGCCCATGAGCGGAGCGGTAACAGGACAATCACAGGACAGCCCATGAGTGGAGCGCTAATGGGACAATCACGGGAGATCCCATGAGCGGAGCGCTAATGGGACAATCACAGGACAGCCCATGAGCGGAGCGCTAACGGGACAATCACAGGAGAGCCCACAGACACAGACTCGTGTGAATGAAAGCTTTCTCAGCAGGTAAGTACGATGAGGATACTGAACGGAAGCTGCTGCACTCAGAGAGGGCGGGGATAAGTGAAGAGGCTCCGCCTCTCTTCTGTAAGGACCTGGGAGAAAGGTCATTTCCGGGGAATGCTTATTTCACGGGATAGAGAGCTAACTTCAGAGTCTGGTCACTTGAGAGATGACGAGAATTATTTTATTTATTTACTTAGGGTTATTGCTTGCAGACACAGATGGGGGTGTGCCCTGCATCCCATGAAAGAGGGCCTGTCTCCGGCTAAGGATGTGACACGTGGGTGGGCAGAGAAGGGCAAGTCTCCGGCTAAGGATGTGACACGTGGGTGGGCAGAGAAGAACAAGGATCTACAGTTGTTTCAAGTCAACTGCATGCGAGTTCCCCATACACGGAACCCTGGCTCTCCGTAGAGCAGACGGCACGGAGTCCTGATCTCTAAGAACCACGGCCGACCGCGGCCCATTGCCACCCATAACTAACTCTCACATCCTCCTAACTGGGTCATGTCAAAAGAAGTGTAGGATAACATTAACCATATCTGGAGAAAAGGAAATTGAGAGGAAGTAACTTGCCCAAGTCATCCCTCCCGTGAGAAGTGGAGCCCCAACGAAGACTGTTTCCAAATTCCCCAGAGGCCTAGCATGGAGGCAAAGGGGAGCCCAGCAAATTAAAGTTATGGGCATTTCCTAAGGAAGTGTTCCGCTAATTTCCTTCCAGTCTTGGCAAGGAGCCTCCTCTGCTGATAGCTCCTGTTTCTGAACTAGCTAGCCGGCGATGTGTGAAGTGGGGTAGAAGGAGGAGGTCCTTCACCCTCCCAGAGACTGTTAGGATCCCAGGAAGATGCACCCGAGAAGGATGAGCAGACTACCAGGGTTTAATGTTGGTCCCCGTCTTTAACGGCCTGTGCAAACGCTAGCTCCCCTAACTGGAAGGCGTATGCTATCCACCTAACAGCGTTAGCCCGGATACCCAGCTCGCAGTGTTCACCAGGAGGAACTGTTAAACCAGTTCTCGGCAGGGTATGCACACTTGCTGCAGGTGTTCCTGGATAAGCAATGGCAACCTCTGAAGCTCGAGAATGAGGTCACGGGATCCTCGCTTCCTGTCTTCCTAAAACGTGCCACTGCGATTGCTGGCCCTGTGGCTCTATGAACACCACCTCCTGCCTGCTATTGTACTTTCCCTCCCGTTCCTTTGGTCACGTCTACTTACTGACCCAACCCCCCTGGGCTGGGTCATCTTTCCTGGCCGTCAACTGTTTCTTGAGCACACAGTGGAGCCTGTGACTTGTTCTTGGCGTCATACCAAGAGGCTGTCAGTAGGGGGAGCTCGAGGACTATCTCAAACAGTGGCCCTGATTTAGCAAACTTAGAAAATAAGAAACAAAGTCATTGAATAGCTCTCTATGATTCTGTTATCAACTGGAAAACAAGAGGACATAAATTCACAGCAATATAAGTAGACACGACTAATAAGACAGTGCTTGCGTCTTCTATAGAGGAGGATGTCTCTAAGGAAATTCCAGTACAGATATTTGATTTCATGTTGGTAAAGATGACAATGTTCCGCAGGAGTTGAGCGACTTAGAGGTATTCCCATTGGATCTGTTTTGCTTACGAAAAGCACAGAATAATTGTGTTTGGTTTGTTCAGATTCGCAGATAACAGCATTCAGGGACGCCACGCTGAATGAAATATCACAACTCTGTTCAAAATTCCACCGAGCTGGGTAACAGCAGTTCAGGGAACTTAGAAAACCCTTGGTGGGGGGCAGGATTTGGGGAGGGCGGGATTTCCCCTAACTTATTTGTTTTGCTTGAGCCCTCAAACTCAAAGGCTCTGGCCCTGCGGGTCACTGGGAGGAAAGGCTGCTTGTGTCTGTCCTTGAGGGGCCATGGTCTGTGGCGATTTCTAAGGGACAACAGAGAAGGTGAAAAGCTCATAGAGGGATATGTGTGGATGTCAGGCCTGGGGCGCGGGATAGACCGCCACGCGGTGCGGGGTTTCTACAGCTTTTCCCGGAGGATTCAGATGTCTCTGTCCTAACAGCTGTGATTTAACAGCCCAGTGAGTGGATCTGTACAAACTGGACCGTCAGGGGCTGGAGATGGCTCAGTGGTTAAGAGCATTGCCTGCTCTTCCAAAGGTCCTGAGTTCAATTCCCAGCAACCACATGGTGGCTCACAACCATCTGTAAAGAGGTCTGGCGCCCTCTTCTGGCCTTCAGGCATACACACAGAAAGAATATTGTATACATAATAAATAAGTAAATAAATAAATAAATAAATAAATAAATAAAAAAAGATAGCTTATAAAAAAAACTGGACCGTCAGACTCTTAATAGCTGGGCAGCTGCACCGAGGGCTTGGGGTCACCTCAGAAGCATCTCTGGGCAGGGTGTGTCAGGTGTCATCTCCTCTCAGGAAATAAAGAGGAAATAAATGAAATATTTCTCCGTCGTATTATTCCAAAGGTGACAGTGGTCAGTCACCGTTAGGAATGTGGACCTGGACTTAGCTTTTCCATATTCAAACATGAAGATAAAAAAAATATAATGCCGAATTTTCCAGGTCAAAGTAAAAGATGGCCCTCACGGCCAGGACTCGTCCAGTCTGTTGGCTGGAATGTTCGTCCAGTTCACTTGGTGAAATGTGAACTTTACAGGCCCAAGGAATTGATGCTACGCAATGGAAGAATTACTTTTCAGCTACGGTTTTCATGAGACGGGGCATGATTTTTGACACCTGCTTCACATCTGGGGGGAAACAAAGGCTTTGAAGATAGTGTGCCGTGACGGAAGGCTAATTAAAGAAATGGTGACACGGATATAAAATACAGTGAAGCAATTTAAACCGTGTCCTCCAAACGGCGAGCTGTTCACCGTGTGTGGCCATGTCAATCAAAAGGTGATGAAACAATGCCTGGGCCATAGTTTGTTTGTTTTCGAGACAGGGTTTCTCTGTGTAGCCCTGGCTGTCCTGGAACTCACTCTGTAGACCAGGCTGGTCTCCAACTCAAAGATCTTCTTGCCTTGGCTTCCAAAGTGCTGGGATTAACGGCGTGTGCCACCACCACCGCCCAGCTGATATACTTTTGAGGCATAGAAGATTAGACTGGTGGACCCAGAAGGCTAATGTTTTTTCTGCAGGGTGGAACGATGTGTTATTTTAATTTTAGCCTCCAAGAATCCCCATATTATCTGCAATGATCAAGCTTTATGTCTATAATCAGGGAAACGTAAGGGAAAGATAGATATAAAATGAAACAGTTTAAGAGCGTCGGGGACATGCTGTTATAGGACTGTTTGCCAGAAAAACTCCCCAAGAGTTCCTATTTCCTACCTCATTTCCTTTACTTCCAGCGCTGGACTTCATTTCCTTCGGTTGCTGTGTGAAAGAAAACGGCAGAGTTTAGATGGAGGATCTTTATCAGCTGGGTACCAAGCTGGCCACACCCTCTATAGTCAGCGCGTTCACAGCCGTAGTTCCGTGAGAGAGAGAGAGAGAGAGAGAGAGAGAGAGAGAGAGCAAGCAATAACTCTTGCTCTCTTGCTCACTGAAAGCCCACATCTCTACCTAGATCCAAGAAGAGCTAGTACAGGAACCCAAATGAAACCCCACCTCATCATACGAATGTCTGTGCAGATGTCTTTCCGCTAACCAGTCTTGTGTTTTGGAAAGCGGACCCTTCGGGCTGGGGTGGTGGCATCCCATATACAGGCGGATGTTGGCTAAGTGTTAATCAACCAGATGAACAGCCGGTGGCAAGAAGGGCAATAGGGCCTTTGGAAATCTAAGAACTATTAGAGAGAAGCCGGGCGGTGGTGGCGCACACCTTTAATCCCAGCACTCGGGAGGCAGAGGCAGGTGGATCTCTGTGAGTTCGAGACCAGCCTGGTCTACGAGAGCTAGTTCCAGGACAGGCTCCAAA